GCAAGCTGTCTCCTCACCGACGCCACCTGGCCCCCGAATATTCCGTGGAGATGATGGGCGTAGAGTCCCGCAGGAGCCGCTCCTTGCTGCTCGAGTCGACGAGTGACGTGATATCGGCGAAGTGTGCGAGCATACCGAGTGATCTTGACCGACATCGCATAATGCTTGACGGCACGCGACCTTCGCGTTGCTCGACCTTGCCTGCGACCTCCACTCAAATCAGCACCGAGGTAGGGAGCTTGGCTGGCATACCTGAGCTTGTACCCCCGAGCTGCAATCCTGCGAGTGATGATGCGGGCATCATCGATGTGGCTGCAGATCACGACGCTCTTGGGAGATATCTTCAGCCCTGCCGACTCCATGTTCTGGCAAGTGTCGAGGAGGCATCTGATCATCTGCCGACGCATCTCAAGTCTAGAGCCCCGAGCAACCTGCGACAAGTCATCCACCCACAGCCGATGTGACATGTTCACGTGGGCGGTGGTGATCCTGGACATGATGAAATGTGTAGCGCATTTGCCGAACCTCGTTCCTGCTCTCAGTCCCTGCACGATGGATCGCGTCGGGCAGAAAGGGGGTCCGTATGCACCTGACTGTCGAACACACCTCACAGCCATGCACTGCTGAAGCTCAAGTCCAAGAATCTCTGCAGGAAAATCCAAACGAAGAGCTGCTGCTGCGATACGATGCCAACCCACACTATCGTAAAACTGAGCTATATCACATAATCCATGTCCGTGTGCGACTCCAAGCCGTCCTGTCAGCCCTTCGTCAACAGCCCGAAGAAACACTTCACGAACTGCTGAGTTGCCGCGCACTGCGGCATCCCAGTGCGACTCACACTCGTCCGTCCATGTTCTCACAAACCCTTCGCGCGATTGTGACCACATCCTTGCAAAATGCGAGAGGAGTCCTATAACTCGATCTCCGTTGCTCTTCTTTGGTAATATTGTACCAATGGTGATCAGAATCTGATGCGGCCACGCTTGGTGCTGTTCACATAGTGTGAGCAGTGCTGCCAATTCGGCCAGCGCAATGTCTGGCAGGCGGTCCACATCCGACGAACACAGCCGATCAACACCCATCGCCGAGGAGGGCCTCATACGTCGAAGCGCTGCACGAAGGTCGGCGACATCGATGGGCGGCAGTGCCTCTTCCTGGACGCGGCGCCTGATGACTCCAAAGAGGTCAAGCAGCTGCTCATGATCCTCCCCCTGCGGGGTCCACAACTCACGCCACTGCTGGGTTTTATAATCGAGCACGTCTCTCGGATGGATAAGCGTTCGATTACCAACTTCGACTGAGTCAGGAGCCAGAGGCGAGGACCTTATAGCCTTGTGCAGGGCGCTGACGGCTGGTGCCGACTCCGCCCAGTCACGAAATGAAGAAATAGAACGATGTATTGCTCGCTGCTGACTCCGCTTGGCAAGTCTATTAGCGAAATCGCAGCCGCTCGATAAGTCTGCCTCGGAGGGATTGCCTGATACCACCACTTGCAGAAACAACTTCCACTGTGACCAGGTGTGAGGATCCCGTCTCCGAAGCACTCGATGCGCCTCCTCAGGGATGGTCCTTTGGAGCGCGCCGATAGCCTGGATGAGGATGCCCTGCTGCTTGCAACTGTTGCCCCGACGGCGATGCTGAAACAGGGCCGAAAGTGCGGTAGCTAGCCTTGTCCACCAGCCACAGACCTTGTCGTGCAGCGGTTCCAGCCTCTGGGCCGTTGACTGCTGCACCGTGCCGATACGAAAACTCGCCGCCTGCCCTCGCGACAAGGATGGAGTGGCCTGCTGGTGGTGGGCGTGGACTGCCTCTTCCACCGTGCGGACCCAGCTACAATAAAGTGCACTGATGTGTGGAGCTGCCGAATCCTGGGACGAGAGCCGAAAGGCTACGGAGTCGGCAACAGCATCAGCAGGCAAGCAGGCAGCGCTCGGGACGAACCCGACGTTTTTCCTCGCTTGTATCCATGTTTCACCGCTGACGGAAAACTCCACGGGGGACCCTGAGCTCACCGATTGAGACAACACCGCTGAAGAGTGAGACCCGTGGACATCTCCTTCTGCGGGGCAGGGTGCTGTGCTCGGGGGGCGCTCGGTCTCCTGAGGCTGAGGTGCGGCTGTGTGAGACTCGACTGTGAGAGAAGCGTGCAAAGCAGGAGCAAGCGGGGCCGCGGGCGGCGCAACTGTGAAGTTGCTCTCGTCAGCCCACGGGTCGTACTCGGAGATGTTGTCCCAATCGGTGGCGTGATGGTCGCTGGGGGCCTCCGAGACCTTGTCGGTCTCGTCGTAGGTGCCCTCCTGGCTCTCATCACCTACCTGCCGACGGGACTCTAAACTCTCTCCAAACCATTCACGAATTTTTGCATGCCTCTTCTCACGTGCGGCCTGCCTAGCGAGATCCCTCTTGGTCTTATTTACACTGGACTTGGACCCCTCGACCGCCTGCTTCGACGGTCTGGGGGCTCGGGGAAGCCTCGGGGGGAGCTCGAGAAAGCGAGTGAAAAGTTGACTGCCAGTCGCCACTAACTCGATGGATAATCCGATGTGTGGTTTCCATGGGACGGCACAGACGGCGGTGACAGCCCGAATGTACGCCCTAGCTGAAGGACAAACCACGAGGTAATCGAGGTGAGATGGCTTCTGATCCCCCCCAGGGGTACAAGTGAAATCGGCATTGCTGCACAAAATGAGCCCCCCAGTGCGCTCCAGAAATCCAGTTTTGACCAGGGCGCTGGGGCTAAAATTCCAATCTGCTGCGATGATCCAGGGCAATTGCAAACTGGCGACAAGACTGGCAAGCTTACGAAACCGTGAAACGTTCTGGTCCCGAAAACCTATAGACGAGTGTCCGTAGAACACGATGTAGACCAGGGAGAACCCTTTTAGGTGCAGGACCACAGGAAGAAACCCGTCAAAAGCCGAACCGCGATCTGCTCGCAATCCGCGCGCTGACTTCGCAGCGTCCAACACCTGAACAGGCAGATGATTCCTGGCGTAGAAGAACTCCCCTCCTTCGCAGCTCTGCTGATTGAGCTTGGCCTTTGGCCTAGCTGGATTGACTAGAAGTTTGAGCGAGCATTGCTGGGCCTTCTTTTTCCAACCTGCAACTGCTGCTGGCAAAGTGTGTGTCTCGCAAAGTGACATGTAGTCATACGACGAGCTCTGCAAGAGACGAATGTGCCCCCAAGCCTCATCACCCATGCAGCTCACGTTCGCAAAAAAAAAGGAGAAAAAAAAAAAAAGATGACCGTGCAGCCTCACTCACCATCGCTCTCGACGTCGAAGTGGTGGCTGCAGGTGGAGACGCAGTAGATGTCGCCACGGACGTACTGCACTCCTCGGATCCCGATGTTGTGACGCCAGTACTCGTCGTACTGGTAACCCCTGGCGCCTGCGAAGACGCCCTCGTAGTAGATGCGGAACCTAGTCATGAAGCGGCGACGCCATCGCCACTCTGCTTGACGGCCTGGGCGGCCACCTCCTTCTCCTTGGCAGCGGCCTCCTGCGCTGCGAAGCGTGCTCTCGACAAGCGGTCCGCCTCCTTCTTGAGCGCCCCGTCGTCGGCCTGGGTGGTCTCGGCGGCGGCTGCGCCCGCGGCCGCTGGCGGCGCGGCGGCCTCGCCCGCGCCCGCGGCTGCGGTGCCACCGCCGCCGCCATCGCTGGCACCCGCGGCGGAGCCGTCAGCCCCGCGCCGCTTCTTGGCCATGCGCTCCTGCACCGCCTTCTGCTCGTTCTTGACGCGATCGACGAAGGACTTCCACTCTGCGTCCTTCGCCTGGATAGTGGTCCGATATGCCTCGAGCTCCTCCTTGAGAGCCCTGAGCTTGGCCTTCTCCCCCTCGTCGCAGTCCCACTGCTCGAAGGAGGCGAAGAGCTCCTCGTTGAGATTGAGCCCGAAGCAGGCGGCCTCTGAGTCGGCCTCCTTGGGCAACGGGCGAAAACCAGCACCCTTGGCGAGCGCTGCTGTGGCTGCCTTCTTGGTGGCATCGCACTTGGCCACCTCCAGGGCTGCACTCTGCTCCTTCTGCTCGGCTGTGGCCAGCTGCTTGCGCAGGCGCATGACCTGCTCGACGAGCTGGCCGTGCCTGTTGGTCGCCGCCTTGAGCGCCCCGTCGGCCTGCTTGACCTGGTCGACGTCGGAGGGTGCCGATGCGGCTGGAGAGGGGGAGGAGGAGGAGGAGGAGGAGGAGGAGGAGGAGGAGGAGGAGGAGCAGGAGGAGGAGGAGGAGGAAACGGAGGAAAAGGAGGCGGGGTCGCTGTCCCTCCGCCTTGGTGTCTGCCCTGGCCCCTCGCTTCCGTCGCTTCTCGGGCCCTCGCTCGGTCCCCCCACTCGTCGCGCGGTGCGACTGGAGTGCAAGGGGAGCTGAACCTGTTGCCAACCCACGGAGAAACAAACGACAGCCGTGCGAGATGCTCTCCTTCTCCTGCTCCTCCTCCTCCTCCTCCCCCTCCTCCCCCGCTTCTTCTTCTTCCTCCTCCTCCTCCTCCTCCTCCTCCTGCCTCCTCCTCCTCCTCCTCCTCCTCCTCCTCCCTCCTCCTCTCCTCCTCCTCCTCCTCCTCCTCCTCCTCCTGCTTCCTCCTCCTCCTCCTCCTCCTCCTCCTCCTCCTCATCTTCCTGCTCCTCCTCCTCCCCCTCCTCCTCCTGCCCTCGTCGTCCTCGACCTCGTCCTCCTCGTTGTCCTAGTCCCAGGGTTGCTTTTCGACGGCCATTGGGCCTGGCGGGGGCCCTCCGAAGCCGAAAACAGCCACAAGCCTTCTGCCGTGATGTTTGCCCCGTCGCGAGGGGGTCTGAGCGACCATCGCGTCGCCTCCTGCGAGGAGGCACGAGGTGGCCCGCGATGACCCTCCTCCTCCTCCTCCTCCTCCTCCTCCTCCTCCTCCTCCGCCTCCTCCTCCTCCTCCCTCCTCCTCCTCCTCCCTCCTCCTCCTCCTCCTCCTCCTCCTCCTCCTCCTCCTCCTCCTCCTCCTCCTCCCCTGGAGGCTGGCCAGTGGTCTCTCCTCGGTCTCGTAATGCACGAAGCCGTAGCCGTGCGAGTTGCCCTCCGAGTCGGAGGCGACCTGCGGCGCGCTGCGGGGGCATCTCGGCGTCCCAGGGCGCAGGCGAGCGACACGCGAAGCAGGTCGGGTGCGAGCGACTCCCGCGCGGGTCTCCGAGTGGATCTGAGCACCGTTGATCCGATCCCTGTCCCCAGCGGCGTGACTTGGGCCCCGATGGCTGACTTACCCCCCTAGATGGGGATGTAGGCTGTTCCCTTCGGACTTCAGGGGGTAGATCTATGGTCCAGGGTCTGCCCTCCCCCCACCCACCAGATGGCATGGTGTGTCCAGTGCCCCCCCGCCCCCCCCATGGTGGGTGCCCCCCCCCCTCCCTGTGGTGTGCTGTGGTGTGGCGTGGTGGTTTGCGCGCGTGCGTGCGTGCGTACATGCGTGTCCCCCCGCCGCCCCCCCTGTGGTGGGTGTGGCGTGGTGTGGTGGTGTGCTGAGTGCTGTGGTGTGGTGGTTTGCACACGTGCGTGCGTGTCCCCCCCCCTTTGGCTGTGGTATGGTGTGCTGCGTGGTGGTTGTGTGTGCGTGTGCGTGTGCGTGTGCGTGCGTGCGTGCGTGCGTGCGTGCGTGCGCGTGCGCGCTTGCGTGCGTGTCTCCGGCGCACTCGTCAGCAAAGGCAGCGCTGTCATCGTCGTCGTCTTCGCTGTCGTCGTCGTCGTCGCCGTCGTCGTCGTAGTCGTCGTCGCAGTCGTCGCCGCCGTCGTCGCCGCCGTCGTCACCGTCGTCGTCGTCGTCGTCGCCGTCGTCGTCGTCGTCGTCTTTGTCTTCGCCGTCGTCTTCGCCGTCGTCGCCGTCGTCGCCGCTGGCGTCGTCGCCGTCGTCGTTGCCGTCGTCGTCGCAGCCGCCCCCCCCCATAACATCTTGGGGAGGTGCAGGGACGTGGGAACCCTGTGACCCATACCATCTGGGGGGAGGTAACGTGGGCACCCGGCACCCTGGATCATATATCCCCAACTGGGGTGCTGAGGTGGTGAGGGTCTGGATGGGGATGGGGATGGGCATAGGGGTCGGTTAAACGAAACTGATGATCCGCGAGTCCACAGGATGCATCGGGTGTTGCTATCAGACGCTCTTCGCGGTCCCAAGGCGGCTCCAGGATGGCTCAAGACGGCCCCAAGGCAGCTGCAAGATACCCCAATATGCGAGACTGGCATACGTACGACGGCCCAAAGACCCTGCCGAGGACCCAGGAGGCCCCAAGAAGCTCCCAAGGCGAACACAAAGAGCATTCAAACATTACTCTGAACACCAACAGCAGTGAAACAGCATACCAGTTATGTGCTGCGTTGCTGCCAATGCATGTCTGCCTAAAATTGCTCCAGGATTGCTTCAGGGAGCCTCAGGACTGCCCAGAAGCGCCCAAGACGCCCCTAGCACTGCCCCGAATACGGCTGCCACAAGACGGCTGTAGCCCCTGAAGACGGTCCGAGGCGGCCCCGAACAGCTGACCTACGATGGTTATCTAAGCTTCTTTGGAAGACCTCGGTAGAACCATCGAGCCCCAGACAGGCCCAAGACCCGAACAGGCCCCCCCTGAGACCTCGGGTAACACCGAAGGGAGCCCCGAAACCTCTGAGAGGCCACGAGGAGGCCAGGAAGGCAATACAAAACAACACTTATGCCTTATGCCACGCTGCGGCACGCCGCGCTACATCATCGTAGCGTTGCTGATCAGACGGCTGGCAGATTGCTCTACCGAGCCCTGTCAGGAAGCTCGGCAATCATTGCACCCAGAACGGTGTTGAAGACCCGCAGCAAAAACACCCCCCACACCCACCCACACCCACACCCCCCCCCACACCCATACCCACACCCACAACCACACCCACCCCCACCCCCCCCCACCCCCACCCCCACACAACCCACACCCCCCACCCCACCCCCCACACACACACACACACACACACACACACACACACACTCACACACACACACACACACACACACGCACACGCGCGCACGCACGCGCACGCACGCACGCACACACACACACACACACACTCTCACACACACACACACACACACACACACACACGCGCGCGTGCGCACGCACGTAAACACAAACACAAACACACAGGCACACAGACACACATACACGCATACACACACATACACACACATACACACACACATACACACACATACACACACATACACACACATACACACACACACAAACACACATACACACATACACACATACACATACAAACATACACACATACACACATACACACACGCTCACATGGAAAACCGTCTTTCTGATGAGCCCCTTAGGGGAAGCTCGGCTGAAGCATCCCACTTACCTTTCGATGTTGCGCTGGCACGCTTGCGGTGCTTCCCGAAGGCAGCTAGATTGGAAGAGCAATCCAAGCGGGAGCCGGTTGCAGCAAAAGGCCCTACCGACCCGATGTCTTGCTGGCGTTGGAGACGCTCCGAAACAAGACGACGAATCACCGAACACTACCGTAGGGGGCAACGATTACAACGTATAGTGGGCGATGGGCGATGGGCGACATAGATCAAAAAGCATGAGACCAGGGGCCTCACACATACTTAATAACGAATGAAGTGTGAACCTGGGTTCGAATGAGTCAAACCAAGATGGAGGCAGAGCCATCTGTGCGCATAAAACCAAACAACACGCGTTCGCATAAATCGATTCGATTGAACGGGCAGATTATTCCCCAATCAATGCTTGCACTGAAGGGGTAGATTGAAAGCTTTGGCAAACACATCCTCCCGACTTTGTTAGCCCGCTGGGTTCCCGGGTTCCCGGGTTCCCGGGCTCCCGGTCGATCTCCTTATCGATCCACGATTCGTTATCGATCTCTGTGTATCGTTTAACCAATCCCCATCCTCAGCGGCGTGGCCTGGGCCCCACTGGCCAATCTACCCCCCTAGATGGGGATATAGGTCGTTACCTTTGGGTTTCGACGGGTGTATCCCCAACTGGGGTGGTAATTTGGTGGGGGTCTCGAAGAGGATGGGGATGGGGATGGGGATCGGTTAAACGATGCCGAATCTCATGATTGATCTCATCAAACCATCCACTGATTGGGTTTTTCCCCTGGTGTAATGATTATGCTAACGGTTATGATGAAACGACCCGTCCAACAATGCCTTTCGCGTCTGCCCGCGTCACCAGGCTCTCGGCATGTCGGGAACTGGCTCTCCAGGCTATCTTTAGGTCGGGCCTGTCCCCCATACGGGGGGGTTTTGACGGAAGCATTAACACTACACAAAAAAGATTCCAAAAATATTCAAACTAATCCGAAAACATCGTCCCCATATTATATTTTGACTGTTTTTGAATATTCCCCCTGTAGAGGGACAGGCCCGCCTTAAGGCTATCTCCTGGCTTGCACCCCTGGGAAATCGGAAGAACGCAGACATGATACAGAGAAAACATTGCCGGCGCGACGAAAACACCAAAAAGCTGGCTCTCTGGGCCTGCTACGTGGACATGGTTGTAAACTGTGTCTACTGGCCGCTTCCTTATCAGCATCCACGGGTGATCAAAAGGATTGCAACCGTTACGTTTGTTCGCGGTATTGAAGTCCCAGGGATGGCGTTATGGCGCGAATCAAGATCGACAAGACGCAACAGTCAGGTCGATCTGTGGCGCTGGAGTCAAAAAACGTGTTTTGGCACGCTTCAGGGTCTTCAAACGGTTGTCTCCCAACGACGCAGTTCCTTCAGTGGAAATGAACCCTTGTAAGGGCATATGAAGAGAGAACTTCGAGGGAAGGCTTATTCCGACATCGTTGATGAGTCTTGGGTTTGCACTGGTCCCCCTCCTCCTTCTGCTGCGCTTTCTCCTCCTCTTCTTTCTCCTCTTCCTCCTCCTCCTACGCCTCCTCTTCACCCTCCCGAGGCCCCTCCCCCTCCCCCTCCTCATCCTCCTCCGCCTCCTCCGCCTCCTCCTCTGCCTCCTTCTCCTCCTCCTCCTCCTCATCCTTCTCCTCCTCCTCATCTGCCTCCTTCTCATCCTTCTCCTCGTCCTCCTCGTCCTCCTTTCTCGAGCCTGTGGCAGGGTCATCAGCTCATCGTTCGAGTTGTCGTCGTCGTCGTCGTGGTCGTCGTCGTGGTCGTCGTCGTCCTTCTGGGACGGCGGCGCCGGCCGTAAGGCCTAAACGATATGATTTGAGAACTGGCTCCCCAGGCCGTCGGGAAATGATGGCGAAGACGATGCAGATGATCACGACCATGGCGATGTATGGCGGCAGTGGATCTATGATGTGACGAAGGAATGGGCTGAGGAGATCATGGTGGTGAGTCTGTACACAATGGCGAACGATGGGCGACGAAAAATGATGGACAAACTGCTCGCGACGCGATGCGAGCGTGAAGGTCAGTTACCCCCGCAGAGGCATCTCGCTGTCCTCATGATGGCGGTGCGCATGATGGTGTTTATATGAACGATGCTGATGATGGTATTGGTAATACTCGTACTGACATGGCAGCAGCAGTGATTCGTCATCCCGTGAAGCCGCATGCGTCCGGGTGATGTCAATCGTCATGGTGATGGTCGCGATGGATCAAGACGACGAAGGCGACGATGGCGATACCGACGGCTATGGCCTTGCAGGAGAGGATGTTCCCGAAGAGGCTGAAGGTATCGTACAACGCCTTGTTGTCGATCTTCTTGTCCTCGAGGGAAAAGCCCAAAGCCCTGCGGCGGCGACACGGTGGCTTCTCAGGATGTGGGGCCCCCCGAGCCCTCCAACCAGCCCCGGCAGTGGTGCCTCGTCGCGGGTTGCCTCTTGGTGCGGCCGCCGCGTGCGCGAGACTGGCCCCACGCCGACGCAGCGGCTCAGGAAGACACGGCTGCCCTGCTGCTCGCGGCGCGAGGGGCCTGGAAGGTTGGCGGGGGACATGCGGTCAGGAATGCTCGCCTGGCGTGTCGCGGCGGCGGCCCTGGCGACCCGCCGTGCTCTGCGAGCTGACAGCGCGTCGCTTCGCTTCGTAGGCCGGGGGGCTGGGAGCCGCTCCAGACGCCGACGTTCGGGGACCAGGAACGGCTTGGCGTGTCGCGCCGAGGCGTGGTGGGCTGAGCCAAATATCCCGACCGTGCCCACATCCGCGGCCCCGCCGCCAGCCAGGACCCCTCGGGCGCAGCCTCTGCGGATCTGCGGGCCGGTGCCGCGCGGCTGCCACCGCGCGGGTAACTCCTCCGTGGGATCGCGCCCCGATGGGATCGAGCCCTGCTGCCCGGACCGCGAGGGCACCGATGTGGATGTGCGCGCGCGGGCATACATTCTAGACGTCGGCGCTGCTGGGAGGAGCGCAGGCCCAGAGAACTAGCACTTTGGGCCCCCATCTGGGGCCCCCGACCTGGCAGAAACCCGCGCGCTCTCCCGACACTTCGGTCGGGCATGTCCTCCTGCAGGCGGAACGTCGAGGAAAAACTCAAAATTGTCAAACAATATTCCAAAGTTGTCATAAACAGTCGGAAGACCGTCCACACAAGTAGTTGATCGTACAAATTGTCAACGCTCCTCCTGTAGAGGGACGTGCCCGACTTGACACCAGCACCTGTGGCCCCCGCCCTGGCCGCAACCCGCGCGCTCTCCCGAGACGCCGACCACCGCGGCCCCAACGCGAGGGACGACGCGCGCGACAGCCCGGCCGGCGACCGCGCGCCCGCCGCTCGTGCCCGGGCGTCCGCTGCGCCCCGCAACGGTCCCGAGAGGGCCCGGACGGCGCCGACGCCCTCAGCACCCCGCCCGCACCGCCGCCGGCGCCCCGGGGTGCGTCCTCCTCGTCGCTCCCCCCTCCCCCCTGCTACCTCCTTCCGCCCCCCCTCCCCCCTCCTTCCCTCCTCCACGCTGCTCTGCCCTCCCGCCTCCTCCCTCCCAAGCGCCTCCGCGCTTTTCAAAGTCTCGGAACCCCTCCTCCTCCTCCCTCCTCCCTCCTGCCTCCTCCCTCCTGCCTCCTGCCTCCTGCCTCCTGCCTCCTGCCTCCTGCCTCCTGCCTCCTCCCT